ACTGCCAACATTAAGAATAGGAAGTATGTGTTTGCAGCCACTTCCCACAATACCAAACTATGCAGAAGCGTGTGTGAATAGGGGGGAGAAAAATAAAAGGTAGAGAATACTCACATTTGGATATCTAACGTATTTCATTTTTAATAAAGTTTCCTTACTCTACATGAAAATGTTCCTGAATCTGTTTAATTGTAATTACAAAAATCTGTCTTTTATGCTCTCACTTCCATAGTTTTAATACGGTCTGGTTTAGTTTTTATGTACTTACATGAAATGTTAAAACTTAAACAATTAAAGCATATTATCCTTGAAATAAAATCAGTGTCCTTAAAGGGCTTACATGCGTACATACAGCCCAACCCCCACCCCCCGCCGCAACGTCGGTCCCTTTTTTTAGGGCCCTGGGACGGTTCGCAAGCCAAAGGCATTAACAAGTTGTCTGCCGTACAACCGGTTACACCTAATTTGAATTAAACCACAGTCGCAGATGACAGAAGCGCTCCTTTCATCTTTTGTAGGAAGGTCACCCAGCCCAGAGCGAGCGCCACGCTCCTTCTGGAACTAAACACGTTGGCCCCGCCGTCTGTTGAGTCCTCCCCTTCACAACTCACACCTGGGTGGCCAAGGGTCAAGTCTGACCTCCCGACGGCGCCAGCGCCTATGCCGCCTTCCCTTTGGGGAAGCAGCAGATGGTGAGGGCGCCGCAGCGCTGGTGCCGCTACTCCCCGCCACAGCAGGGCAGCAGCACTTAAAAATGACTCGTTAGGCGCCCGGAACTCCCTCCGCCTCCTGCCGTCCGCCGCGGCGGGGGCGGGAGGAGTCCCCGCGTCTCTTTCCCCAGCCAGGGTTCCCGGACACTACACCTAAAAGCGGCGAGACTCCACACCTCTGCCCCCACTCAGAACCCGAAAACCTCTGTTCCCAGGGAGAGAGAAGCCGTGAGTCACAAGAGCGCCGCACTCACTACCTGGCACTGCAGCACCCACGCAGGAGACTACACCGCCAGCGGGCCACGGGATCCTGGGAGACGGCTCCTGCCCAAACCTTCGCGCGCGGCCAGCCCGCCACCAATAGCAACCCTGGCTCCAAGGGGTGAGCCAATGGGAGCGCTCGGGCTAAAGCGGAGCAGCCAATCATCGCCCTCTCGTCTCCGGGGCCCAGGCACCAACACCAACACCAGCCCCAGCTCTCCTGGCGTTCCCCCGAACTGCATGCGGTTCTAACCTGGAGACCCACCGCTACTCACCTCATCCGCAGAGTCCAGCCAGTAAATGAATTTTCCCCAGAGCAGAATTTTGAGGAACTGCAGCTTTTACTGTGTGCCCCGTTCTCTACCCGACTCAGGAGGGGAGATGTTCATGCGCTCACCTCCGCGGCATGCTTCTGCGTAAACTCACCGCGCAGCCCAGCGTTTCAAAAATTAGTGAAAGCACGAGAGCGTTCTTCCCGTTCACTTAATCGCTATGAACCATTTGAACGAGTCGATGTCTGAGCTTAAAATAGAAGGATGACTTGATAAGGGGTCTGAGGAAGTTTCTCTTTGGCAAAAGTGTGAACGGCCTTTACTTACTGAAGTTGGGGCATGTTTGTCGGGGGCTAGAAGTGAACCAAGGGGAGAACAGCGCTAACACTTGTAAAAGGGCGTCAACACTTACCTCGTTCGTTGGTGTCTTCAAAATAAAACCACGGAGTTGGTAGGGTTATTTCACTATTGTTTGAGAGCTTGCTATGCATCAGGCTTTATGCTAAGCAGTTTACCTGCATTAACCCATTCAATCCTCACAACCTCCCTAATGCATGATTCAACTTGTTTTACAGATGAGGAAATCGAGGCAGTAGACCCTTCATAGTTACTTGTGGTCATCAGGATGAGAAGGAAGGAGGGTTGGGGGTGGGAATGGAGACAAAGAGATAGGAAACTGAAAGAAGTCATCTGAGAAACACTAACTCAACTGAGCCATTTAAATAAGTAGTATTAGGGGCGGCAGGGGTGGCTCAGTTAAGCATGGACTTCGGCTCAGGTCATGCTCTGGTCGTGAGTTCAAGCCCCGCATTGGGCTCTGTGCTGACAGCTCAGACAGAGCCTGGAGACTGCTTCAGATACCGTGTGTGTCTCTCTCTCCCTCTCTGCCCCTCCTCCGCTCATGCTCTCTCAAAAAATAAATAAATGTTTAAAATTTCTTAAATAAGTAGTAGTAACGTTACTGATTGTACATCACTGATTTGACTTCACAACTAAAATGAATAACCACATTAATTATATATGATAGTGTGCACATCCATGGACAAATATACAGGTTATGTGAGGCAACCAATGGAGAATTACAAATGACCTGCTATTAAGGACATTTTAAGTCTATATTCAACCTTCATTTTTCATATTGGAATTTATTCGAATAACCTAGTCAATATCAAAGAGGAAAAGGAAGCTAGGGAGTTTTCTGTTGTATTAAATTTTTATCAATTTAAAATGTATTTCTTTGACCAAACTGTTTTTATTTCTTGAAAACAAGAGTTATAGGACTAAGTAGTGAGCTAGGAAATGAAAGAAGGAAACAAAACTTTTACACCTGATAAAACTTTTTTTGTTTTAAATCTGGGCAGCCTTTCTCACTTTCCCTGAGGACAAACACAGTCTGTTTTCAGGAAAGTTTTCCAATATTTCTCTATAAGGGTGGATTTTGTTTCAAGCAATAATTGCTTCAAAGGGCAAGACTCTGATACTATGAAGGCAGTGAGAAGCCCTGGATGTCTAGAGCCCAAGCTGAATAGGCAGCTGTGTGGGTTTGCTTCCAGTTCTGTTGTCAGGACCATCACTGAACCTCATGGGGCAAGCCCATGGTCATCCTCTGTGGGGAGGAAAGAAGTGAAAATAGCAGTAGCATAAGGATTTGGCAGAGAATAGGCTCTCAATAAATGGTAGTATCATTGTCACCATATATGCATGCTACTTCACACATATTTTTTATTTCTCTTTGGGTTTTCTTTTACAAAGCAAAACATCTTCTGGTTAGCAGACACCAAAAACCTGTAATCCCCAGGATAAGTTTTCTCACAGAAAAAATCTTTTTGCTGATCCAGCCCCCATAAAAGTCAGATGTCCTCCCCACCTCACCCCCATGCCTCTTGCTCTGATGGATTACAAAAAGTCTCTGCCAGCCATCCAGTGACATCTGCCATGTTCCCAACTGGGAGACAGCTGTGTGGGAACTGCTGCAGTACTCAGGATTCAGAAAATAAAGGTCATTTTTAACTGAGTTAAAATCATCAGGATCATAGCCAGATCTTTTGGTGCCCTACAAGAATCTTCCCACCAACCTCTGGGAAGAGTACTAGAGAGCTGGGCTCTTTGGGTACCTGCCCTTAGTTGAGGAGATGGCTCATCCTCCACTTCTACATAACTTCAGTGAAATGCTCCCCTGAGTACGGGGTTGGGGAGTGGCATAGGAAGGGGAGAGGGTGCTTTCCAATTTTAGCCCACAGAAATATATTCTTTACGATAGTCTTCCATTCACTAGTATTAATTTTTTATACCCATAAATGAAGTCATTGCTTCTAACTTTGTACTTCTCATTATGGGCCTCCCAGTGAACTTGAAGTGTATATTTTCTCTTCAGTAAAATGGGACACACATCAACGAGATTATTGGAAAGAGTACATGGAGAAAAGAAAACTACACAGACGAGTAGATAAGCACCTCCAATAATATCAATCCTCTTTTAGCATTTGTTAAATGAAAACTAAAGTGTATGAATCATAAAAAGCACGGAGCAATTTTCCTTTGTTTGCTTCCCAAGGAAACCCCTGTCAAAATGGTACATAGCAAGAAACAGTGATTCTACAGTTCGATAATTCTTTTTGATGAGGAATATGCATTTTTTCTTGAAACTCATTAGCTTCTTTCCTAAACATGAAAACTCTTAGCATAATTAACATGATTTCAGAAAACAGTTACTTTGCCCGCTATCTGGGAGCATGTGAAGTACACATATTGGAAATAGTATATTTCCCTATTACAACACTACTTAACATTTACCTTATGAATAGTCAAAGTCTTCAAGTGTCCTGTGATTCATTTTATTATGGAGTCTTCTTGAAAATTGTTTTCGAATTAAACTCTTTCTTTAAAGGATCTGCTGAAATCGCTAAGTGAAGAAACTGTCATGTGTATCTTTATTTTTATTAAAGATTGCACAAACTGGAACCAAGACCAAAATACTGAATCCACTGTACATCATTCATTGTAAAACAACATACATCACATCTGTACTCTACCAAATAAGACATTTTCTTTAAAATTATATATTGCGTGCTTTTAGATTCATGCTTTAGATATTTTACATTTGTCATTACTCTTTTATAAATAATTGCAACTTGACCAATTTGCACACCTGCTACCACTATATAGTCAATGCGGGAAGGCATAGTCTTTGACACGAGAACAGATGAAATGGAAATATTTGGATAGATGGATGGATGTCACGTCTACCGAACTTTGACTACTGTTTCGCCTATTTAGTGAAATGCTAATGTAAACACACACACACACACACACACACACACACACATCGTTTCAAAAGGCACAATTTCCTCCACATTAAAGAACAATTTAAAAATACATGGCAGTTAAAATCGACGCCCTCAAGGGCGCTGTGAAGTTCACATTAATGCGATCCTAAACGTTGAGAGCAGACCTCCTGGGTGGTTCATGGGAGAGACTACCCGCGGAGTCCAAGGGTCCACAGGGACCCGACTCGCTCCGGCTACGCAAAAAGCCAGATTTCTTTGAGCCACTTCTAAACCTTAGCTCTGAATTTCACTATAGGACCTGGGACCTCTCACTGTTCCAAATCTGGCGCCCAACCAAAATAAAAACGGTTTTGTCAACCGGTTCACTCTCCAGGAGCTCCTCTCTTCTCCCAAAAGAGAACCACTCTCCCCTCCCCAACTTCTTATCTCCGTTCCCGCCTCCCAAATCCACCCTTTCCCGAGAAGACTCGTTATGGGTCGCGCTCGCCGCCGCCTCCAGCCTCAGGGTCGCTCTGGTCGTCCGTGAAGCAGACGTCCACATCGCTGTCGTTGTCGCTCTTGGGCTCCCCAGGCTCCGGCGGGTAGTCAGGCTCCGCGCCGGGGCCATCGCCCGCCTTGGCTAGCAGGTTTTGGCCGGGGTGGCGGGACTTGACGTGGCGCTCCAGGTCCCGGCGGCGCACCAGCACCTTGCCGCAGAACTCGCAGCGGTAGGGCGTGTTGCCCTCGGCGTGCAGCCGGATGTGCTTGTTCAGATTGCTGGGGTCGCCGAAGGGCCGCAGGCACACTTTGCACTTGAGCGGCTTGTAGCCGGTGTGCGTCCGCATGTGAATCTTGAGCCCGTACTTGCGCGAGTACAACTTGCCGCAGTAGAGACACAGGTGGCCGGTCTTTGACTTGCCGGCGCCGCCACCTACGCTGCCGCCACCCCCAGCGCCTCCCGCCGCCACGACGGCGGGTGGCAGCGTCCCCGCGTCCAGGCGGCCTCGGCTTTTCCCGGCTGCCATCTCGGACAGCTGCTGCGTGTGCATAGCGATCTCTCGGTCGATGCTAGCCAGGGAGCCGAGCTCCGCAGGGCTTAGAGCGGCAGCTGCCGCTGCTGCTGCCGCCGCCGCAGGCCCGCTGAAGTAGGAGATGGACTCCGGATACTTGAGCAGCCCGCCGAAGTGCAGTTTGAGTGGGTAATAAGCGGCGGCGGCCGGTGAGCCGTAGAGTAGCTCCCCGTTGTAGACGGTAAAAGCCGGCATGACGGCAGGTAGGTGGCTGCACTCGCCACCCGGGTAGGCTTTGAGCCCGCCCGCGTCGAGGGCCGGCAGCGCGCAGCGCTCGACGGGCAGCCCGGTCGCAGAGGGCAACTGGGCGAAACGCGCTCCCGGCAGCGCAGGCGCCGCTGGCTGGGCGCGTTCCACATGCTTGAAGGCTGACGCCTCTTCCGGGGCCCCGGGGAGCAGAGGGAAGCTGCGCAGGCCCCCCGAGCAGGGTAGGCCAGGCGGCGGCGGCGGCGGGTCCCCCGAGAGCAGGCACTTGGAATGGTGATGGTGGTGGTGCGCATGGTGGTGATGGTGGTGGCCGGCGCCGCCCGCCGCGGGGTTCTCCCCGCTTACCGGGCGTCCGCCCGCCCGGCCCCCGCCCAGCAACCTGCCTAAGGCCAAGCCGGACCCAGGCTTGCCGCCGCCCTCCTCCCGGTAGGGGTCGCCATGCGCGGCCGCGGCCGCCCTGGCCAAGCCCGCAGGCTTGAAAGCCGAGCGCACTCCGGGGTAGAAAGCCAGGCCACCGCCCCCAGCTGGGGAGCCGCCTACGATGCCGAGGAAGTGGCCGTGTCCCCGGGAGGCCCCGCTCATGTCTAGGGCGCGGTCCGGCTGTTCCTTGCTCTTCTTGGACTGCCCCCACTTGGCCGCGGGTGGCGACGTGGCCGAGGGCGCAGAGGAGGCCTCGCGCTTGATACTCTCCCGCGCTCCGCAGGCCTGGAGAGGCGGCGGGGCCTGCGAGTGGGGCCTCAGAGTGCCAGCCGGGGCGGCCGCGGCAAAGTCGGGCGCTGGGGGTTTCGGAGAGAAGGGAAGGCCATCCGCGGCCGGGGCAACGCTTTGGCGAGCAGCGTGCTCGTGGTGCAGGTAGGTTCGGCCCCCGCCGCTGCTGAGCACGCAGTGGAAACGTAGGTGGGCCTTAAGGCTGTTGGGGTATCTAAACGTCCTCCAGCAGTACCAGCAAATGTAGCGCTCCTCCCCTGGGCGAGAAAGAGTGGGAAAGCGACCCCGTGAGAGGCGAACAAGCGAAAGAGAAAGAAAGCGCACCCAAGGCAAAGCCCAGATTTATGACCAGAGGTATGAACAAGAGTGTTCTTGGGGCCCAGAGAGTGAGTTAGTTCGGTGGCCCCACTGTAGCAAGGACTCCGAGAAGCCCCAAATGGCCAACTTTGTCACCATCTCCATCCTCTGGGATTACTCAGAAGCCAAAGAGGTGACCTGTGCCTTTCCAACGAAGACTTCCTCCGGGCCATCCGAGCAAATCTTCCTTGGGAGGGCAGCGCTCAGGCAGGCTAGCCGGGGGAAGAAACGAGCAGAGAGAGCAGCTGTTGCTTTAAATCAAGTGTTGAGGCTGTGCTGTGCCCGGGCCCATCTGTTGGCGTTTGCAGAATAGGTGGCGTATGTCAAGGAGTTTGGATAAACTGAACAAAGACCAATCTAATGGTCGTGAGCGCCTCATTACCAGGCGAGACAATATCTTGTATGTATGGGCCATATGTAATCATTCCTTTTCATACAACAATGCCTTTTATGTCCATTACCCACCCTTCCCACTGCCTCCCAGCCTTAAACATTTTGCCTGAGGTTTTCCTGGAGCGTGACCAACTGAAGGACCACATAGGGACTATAATCTGCTATTCTTCAAAATTATTTGTATCTTTATTTCCTCTTTAACCCCATTTAATTTGATGAGAAAAAAAGAAAACGCCCTATGTCCTTATAGTCTAAAAATTGAAGGATGATGTCGTATTATGTTCTCAGTTGTTCCACCTGGTAATTAATTAACTCCCAGAAAGCTGCACCAGTCCAGGCATAATAATAAAGTCCTTGGAAAAGATAGTTTAGTTTGTATGAAATGAATATATAGATGGATATGATACAGATACTCAGCTTTTAGTAAGCATACAATTCTCTACGAGGAACTATATACATGTTTTTGCTGTCAAGCCTTTTCTTGTGTTTAATATTATTAACATTAGTTGTTTTTAATTTGGCCAAGGTCTGGGAACACAGTCGAGGGACACAGGTATGAAACAGATTGTGATCACATGGTGGAAGTTAATTTTCACTTTAAAACGGTCTTGTTATATCTGGACAGAAAACAGCAATCTTGCAGTTGGGTTTCTTTTTTTGGTGTTATGGTTGCTTGATAATACTGAAGAATGTCTGTGAGAAAGAAGTTAGTTGAGCCGCAAGGAAGTACCCAAAGTTTGTCTTATTAAATTCAATGGAAAAATTAAATTCCCTCCCCCTTGCACACAAGCAGCTCAAACTTCTAAAGCATTACTACAAAAACAACTGAAAAAAGTCCTATATCTTCTGCCCTTCATGTGTTTTACTTTCAGCTTTGCATAAAGCAAGTAGTCCCTCTAGATAACTAAGATGCAAGGATCAGTTCATTCCAGCTGACATCAAGGTAGGGCAGAAAGCGGAGTGGGGGGCGAGGATTTACCTCTGAGAGCCTACCCTAATTGTTCATGGAAAACCTAAATAAAATCATTTCAGTATTTCTGTTAACTTGTATTGAACATCCCTGTAAAATAAATCTGGAAAAAAAAGAAGAGACTTCCTGGGTTCTCTTGCTGGGTATGCTGATTTAACATCTTAAATAACCTCCCTTCTCCTAAGTTCAGAACATCCCTCTCTACCCCTTTTTAAAGAAGGAATTTTCAAAGGCTGCCCTGGAATGACTCTAGTCAATCAGAAAGCCAAGTAAGCTTCCATCCTAAAACAAAGGGTCCATATTTTCCTTAAAATTACTATGGAATTGAAACCCACTGGAGTTACTCAATGTTGGAAGAATAGCAGCCTTCCCTACTTATTTCTTCATCTTTTCAAGAGTTAAGCAAATTCTCTGTTTCATTATGTTCCTTTTTCAATTTATTCTAACCAACTGACACGTTCTCCGGACTCTGAAATCCAAGTCATGCCAAAAGTGTCAAACACACTTCACGAGTGACTTTGCCTCCTCATCTTGGTGTAACCTTGAGGTTGCCAAGATTTCAAGTATATCAAAGGTGGGGAAGTCAGGGTTCAGAATAGCCCATGCATTCCCAAAAGGAAAATGGTGTTTATTCTGACATCTGTTCATAAGCTTAATTGGCTGAAATGAAACACGAGGGCCACCACTCAAACAGGTTGCTTTTGTATGATTTGAGAGTGCCTAAGGAGGGGTGTTCTGTGTAGAAATGTCTGGCCCCTAAAGGTCAGCAGCTGTTGGAATTGTCCTGTAGTGGCAGATTACAGAGTTCTCCACTACAGATCTTTTATCATGTTTCTCTTTTAGTGGGAGAAGTTGACAAAAGAATTTAATATAATGTAGTATAAGGAACAAGCTACTTTAGGATAATCTTTTATGAATACTGTACACACAAGTCTACCCACAAGACAGTGATACTTTGAAATGAAGTGATTCATCATTCTAAATAAACTTCATTCTGTCTTATTCATGAATTGTTTCTTAATTCTCACATTTGTATTAATTTCTTTAACCCTATTTCTAGACGGATGAGATTTGAGCAGGCAATTTGGGAGGACAGCATGTTAAAATATTTCACAACATTCATTATATTGACTTTAAATATAACTGTGTCTTTAGGAGAAATTACAAACCTTAACAATTGACAAGGAAAAAAGAACAGTCATGGAAGCTTTGTGAATTAAAAGGGAGGTCTCAAGATCTGAACTCTTGTAGCACCACCCAGATTTTTTTTTCACAGACAGTGTTCTTCAGTGTTCTAGGGGAGGTTTGAAAATGTTCTTCTCTTTAGTTACTGCCCCTTATTTGCATAAATCCACTCTTGGCTTTGGAAGGGATCAAATAAATCTAAGAAGAAACTGGGATACAACCCAGATTCAATTTAAGTAGGGAGGGGGAAATGAATAAATACCATTTAAATGGAAGGGCTTCAGTACCTGCCAACAGACCAGCTGTAAGTACCGTAATGCTTCTAAAATCCCGTGGAAATCCTGTTCTTCAAACCAGTGAAGAGAAGCCCTTCCACCTTCTAAAAACGTTCCAGGTTTGAGTTATGCTTTTTGGAGCTCATGATGTGATTAATAATATGTTAAGGTTTCTTTATGGATTCTTAATTGAGTAAATAATTGTCTCTGGGTATGCAATAGGAAAGGATAGCCCCCATGTTCATAAAGTATTTTTTCGGTGTCGTCGCGAGACAGATTATTGTCGCTATTATCATTTACTGTTGATTGTAAGGTGGTAGTGGTGACGTCGTCTGTCTGCTCACACAGACAGGGAGCATGAATTCAGTTTTACATAGCTCGAGAGAAAGGCCCTGGGGTTGCATCCAAAGAATGAAGAAGGGCTGGACTGTCACCCACCCGCGCTGGCCTGGAGGCCCTCTCAGGCTCGGTACCTTTCTCGTCGTGCGTCGGAGTTGCAATTGTGGGGATGTCGAACCACTGAGCCAAGGAGTTGGAATACCACACGGTCAGCTCCTCCCCTGGCTGGACGTCTCGAAGAGCTCGATAGAAGATCTGGGACACAAGGAACGGGACAGCTTGCTGTCATTTCCTGGGTAATCTGTCTAAAAGCAACTAAAAGGAAAGGTTCAAGTCCCCGCTCTGATGCTGTGTGACCCTGAAAAAACTATTGGACCTCTCTGAACCTCACTTCCCTCATTCTTCAAACGGGGAAAATAATAGTGTATGCCTTAGAGGGTTGTTGAGACGTTTAAATGAGACCTCCAGCTAAAGCGCTTTGTTCTTAATATTGATGGCCACCTCAGTAACGGTTAGGTAGGTAGAATTGGCAGTGGTGGGGGAAGCCCACAGTACCTGTCCTCCGGGTAAGTCTGCAATAGCTTCGAGAGTCTGTTCCTGGGGGTTCCTGGCTGCCCGGATTAACCCTATCCATTCCAGAGGGGAGCCCCCCGACTCGTCCACCAGCTCCCCTCTCACCATGCGCACCTGCAACACAAGCAGTGGTCGTTCTTCCTCGCGCCACGGCCAGGCCCACAATCCAGAGGGAAAGTTTATCCAACACCCCACCCGACTCTGAAAAATGGTTGCGTTCGCTTTGGCCAGACCTCTGTGGGCTGCTGGGAGGAAGGTAATTCCTAGGAACCTTGCTTAAGGAAGGGAGGAAGACAGGAGGCTGGCTACTATAACAGTCCCCTCTCTCGTCCCACCTTGGCAACACCAAGAGCGAAAGCATCCTCGGTGAGAGGCTGGGGGGTGGTCTTGTACCAAGATGTCCCGCACCCCCGCCCCCCGCTCAGTTCCTATTCTTGCGGTTCTGAGAGCGGTCGTTAATATAAAAGAGACGTCAGCCCCAGAACCCAGAGTTTCCTTCACCTCCCTCTCGTGCCTCCCCAGGCTCACTACACAGCACCAAGATGCGGAGGTGCCTAGGAGTCCGGCAGCGAAAGTGTGTGAACGAACAACCCGGCCGCAGCATGGCCGGCTATTTAAAAGCAATTAAAGCGCGTGTAAAGAAGACTTTAGACCGCGGGGAAGAGGGTGATCGCGTAGGGAGTCACATGCGGGTCCCGCTGGCCCTGCGCGGGAGCAATTTCTTACAAGAAAGCTCAAGGCAGCGACTAGGCAAAGCTAAGGTCCTCCCCCCCCCCTCCCCCGCCACCCCCCACCGGACTCCTGCCTTCTTTTCCCGGTAGCTGTTGGAGAACCTTTGCCGGCTGGGACGCCTCAGGGCGGAAGGGAGCCTTTAAAACCCGACTCTGCTCGGAGGTCTACACGAAGTTCGGAGAGTTAGAACTGGCGGGTCGGCCCCGACGCCTCCCAGTTGCGAGCCTGGACTCTCAAAGCCTGGCTGCAGACGCGCGGACCGGGTGCCCCAGGCGGGTGGGCACTCCTCGCCCTCAGTCGGGGCCCCAGGCGGAGCCACTACCTGGATCACTCGCTCTCCATCTACCCCAAACCCCCAGCAGACATCCGCGGGGGTGGGGATGGGGGTGCATCCTAAGAACTGAGAGTTTCCCAAAGATTGTTTTTTTTCGGAGCACATGAGATTAAATTATTTTAAGGCGAATTTAAGCCTTAAATTAGCGCGTTGAAGGGAAGAAGGTAAGAAAAGTCTTCAACGCCCTGCGCGCTGTGTAACAGAGAAAGGGCGCATTTGCGGGGAGACCCGGCTCCCCCCCCAACACACACACACGCCTCTCCGAACGAGACTCGGGAGCTTCAGGGAAAGCGCGGATTCTGAGTGGTCCCCTCACGTAAACAGCCCCATGCACCCCGCCCCGGCGCTGTCCCCTCTCAGCCACGTCCTTTCCCCACAGTTCGGCCCACGTCCAGCTCTCAGTTAATGCGACTTGCGAGGAGTTACTGGAGTCCCCGGGCCACCTGGCAGCATTGGCAGGTAACGACTCAATCGCCCCTTTCCTCCGCTTGCCCTATCTACCCCTGCCAGGGCCAGAGCAAAGGGAGGCGAATGGCTGGAGGCGGAGGTCGGAATGGCTAATACCTTTTTCTTGGGCCCGGGTTCCCTGCGGTCTGACAGGTACTTGCCCAGCTTGAAGGTTCCAGGCACGGGCCCCAGGCGCAGGCCGGCCGGGATGCAGCAGTCGGCGCTCACGCTGGTGGCCGGAGCGCGGGCTGTTCCGTGCATTGCTGCCGCCGCCGCCGCCAGGCAGGCGCGTGGGCGCGCTGGGTGCAGCACAGGGCTCGGGTGACAGAGCCCGAGCGGCGCTCCAGCCAGAGAGCCGCACCCCGACGTGCGTCCTCCGCCCGCGCAGTGACGCGGGCGGGCATGCACTGCGCCTTTTCAATCAGGGCGGGCGCCTTTTGGCACCGCGAGCGCAAGGGCGCGGAGTTTGGTGAGAGAGTTGCTCTGCGCAGCAGCTGCAGAGTCCCACCCGAGAGGGTCACATGGAGTAGTTCCCTCAGCCCTCTGCATAATCGAGGCCTCTGAATGGCTGGCGCACAATGGTCCAGGCGACCTTCCCATTCCTAAAAATCCAATTTGTCAAGGGCGAAGAAAAGGCGCTGGTGAATCAAAGGTCCGGCGGGACCATTAATCCTCAGCATGGGGTATTGTCCTCGAGACAGTTACGATATTTTAAGTGACAAATCCACTGTATAATTTCTCCATAAATTTTACTTCCTTTTATTGTTCGCCGACAAACCAGTTTTGGGAAATAAGTGACTACTTTAAGTCTACTTGGCTGATTCCTTTGAGCCTTGGTCTACTTCAAAGATTTTTAATTCTCTCCCCTTGGCTTTATTGTAAAGGAGATTAAACAAAGAGATGGGGACTGTTTGGAGGACTTGTTAACTTCTATTGATTTCTGGCGTGTGCCATACAGAAATTAGGCAGGTACTTGATGGGAAAACACCAGAAAATACCTACACTTTTTAAATAACGACCATATTACCATTTCAGGGGATTGGGTCCAGGCCAGTCGTCTATTTAGAACCGCTTTTTCGTTCCTTCTGTCCAGTTTCGCCCCGAAATATGAAGCGTCCCGACCAGTTTTGGTAGACGTAGGAAGTTGTACACCACCGTCCTCGGGTGCACCCCGGACCCGCACTTTCTCTGGGAAAGGGAAGCGGCCTCGGGGCCCTGGCTTTGCCGGCAATCCTGTGCCTTGTCCTCACCAGAGGGTTGAAGAGGGATGCTCAAGACTGGGTCTTTCTTATCAGGTCCCCCTCACATGCCAACCGACCGACTCAAGCCCAGATTTGCTTTTACATTTTAAAACGGGAGGGAATCCTTGGGGCTAACTTTAAAAAGAAAAAAAAAAAAAAAGAGGCAGTCTATCAAAGGTTGCGGGAAAGAGGATGAGGCGGGCATTAGCAACACCTGCCTTTAGCCCAACTCGTGAACTAAGAGAACGCGCGTGCTCCGGAATGTTAAAGCAGAGTACCAGAATGCTCCTCAGTCTTTTTTCTTTTTCTTTTTCTTTTTCTTTTTTTTTTTTTAAGGGAAGTCTCTGATTTGTGCGGAGACATTTCTTTTCATAACATAGCGGAGTGATTGAGCTCCTCAGATGTTTGTGACAATTCTGCCTGCGCCTGCCACGCGCTGCCCATCCTGGGCGCCGCTCCCCAAATCCTATGGACCAGGATGCGGGCCATCGCGGTATTCCAGGAGAGGCCGAGATGCGGTGGTTTTCCCGCCTGTGTTGGAAGCCCAAACACCGTACACTCGAGCGGAGGACTCCCAACAGCCACTACACCGAATTCTCCACCCGCCTCTGCCCGCGGAAGGTGTGGTTCCGAGGTCCCTGGCAGAGGTGACTGTGGTTAACAACGGCGGCCCGACGCAAGGTGGCGACACCTGTAACTCAGCGGTTTGTCCCACCAGGCCCTCAAGAAAGCCCCGTAGCAGCCCTCGACGGAGACCTGCGTTGGCCGTACTGGACACTGTCAGGAAACTTGGGGTCCTTCAGTCTGTGCTCTGGCATTCAAGACTCAGGGAGACTTTGGTGAATCACTTCAGAACCTCATTCTTCTAATCCATAACATGGGAATGATGATGTACTCAGCTTCCACTCCGCAGTTCACTGGGGTGTGTTACGAAAAGTAACAGCAGTGATCTGTGGGTAGAGCGAATGGCGCTCCAAAACTCGAGGTTAGCATAACGGGGGATCCAGGCCTGGTCAAGGGTCTCAGGTCTAAGCATCTCGAGTCAAACGGTGCGGCGACACATGGACGGCGGGTCTCAGGGCTAACTCCAAAGCCTGTGTAGGCGCGGCTGCTGAGGCGGAGAACAGAGACAGACACCTGGTAGGTCCTCGCGGCCGCACGCTGCGGCCCCTCTGGCCGCGCAGCCACGCCATGACCAGAACCACTTTCTGAGGGAGCTGCCACCGATCTTTCCTCTTAATCCTCCAATTGCCCCTCTTAGGGCTTCGAAGGCTGCCGGCGAGGGAGAGGGAGCCTTTGATCAGGCAGCCCATGAATGGCAAAAGCCGGGGGAGGGGAGGAGGAGAGGAAGCCGCTCCGAAGTCGAGGGCAATAAATTTAAGCCATGAACATGTCCCTCTAACCTCTGGCCTGGCGACTCCGGGATGACACCCAGTTTAAATTACCAGCACCATGAGCGGGAAGGGGCGAGCTCCGGGCCTGGGTTCGGGGCTCCTCCCCGGCCCTCCTTAATGAGTGAAAAAGCGTGAACGACACGCGAACAATTTTATCAATAGGACCATGTAAAGGCCGACTGTGAGGAAAGTTATTTATTAATATAGCCAATTGTGGCTGGTTCCCAGCCCCTCGAGAAGAAAGGGACTGCGCCAGAGGCATTCACACCAGCTCGCCGAGTTTTATTCTGTCCTGTGGCTCAGAGTTGAAGTTCCCCAAGTGAAATAAATTGTCCACAAAGGAGGAAAGGAACACATTTTCTTTTATTTTTTCTCCCCTAAAAAGCAAGGGTGAAACCAATCTAATGTGCCCAGTGGAGCAAGATGGGCCGTGAAAGGCTGGGTGTTAAAAGTAAAAGCGGGCTGTGCAGCAAATGGGATGGAAAATTAAATGAAATTAAATAGCTTGAACGGCCGTATTGTCCCTTATTAAAAAGACACATTAATTACATGGTCTCAGCCTTATTCAAAGACAATGTTGAGACTCAATCAAAACATTCCACTCGGCTTTTTTATGGACTTAAAATGGGCGTCCAGGGGCCCCGTTAAGGAGAAATCCCCCCTGTACCGAGGTGCGGGGCGAGGCGGGTTTGGGGGCGGCCCTGCTCGCTGCCCACCGCGGAACTGCACGGGCACCACTCCCGCCCCGTAACAGGTTGCCCCTAACGAGGCCTGGGTGCTGCGAGCCAGCCGGAGCTGCTGGCTGCGGAGAGCTAGTAGCTCCGCTCCCGGCGCCGCTCCAGACCCGGCAGCGTTAGGGGGGCGGTCCCCGCGCGCGAGTGCCGGGCTGGAAATGCTGCCAGCGCCGAGCACGTGTGACCCCGCTGGGCTCCGCCTAGAAAAAGGGGCCCCGCGGGCCGTAGGTGCCGAGTTGAGCGGCTCCTTCCGGAATATCCTTCTGCAGAGCTGCGGGTCGCCGGGGCGCAGAGCCCTTGGGCTTCGGTCCCCGGGGGACGAGGGGGGGTGGGGAGGGCCGAGTTGGCTGCATCCGGAGACCCTCTGTCTTGGGGACCCGCGTGTTTGAGGAGTCACCAACCCCACCCCCCTCCAACCCCGGCAGAGTATCGAACCCCAGGATGGAGGGAGCTGCGCGAGGTCAGGGATCGCTGGCGAAGACGCAGGGGAGGGAGCGAGACTCGGCGGAGTTGGGGCCTGAGGTGACCAGGGCCGCGCCCCCCGAGGGTGTCCGCCCCGGCCAGGACGGCGGGTCAGCGCGGACCAGCTGCGCGGCCCCCGAGGCGCGGGTGGGACATTAAGGCCGGGTCTGAATAGGGCGGCGGCGACGGGCTCTGGGAACGCCACCAGATGACACGCAGGCGACGGGGCCATTTTCCCCTTAATTGCGAGGCCGGTGGGTGCGCCGCGGCCGGTAGGCTCCAAACGTGCGGCCAGGACGCAGCCCGGACGCTGCTGGTGGGTTTTGTGGTGCCTTTTTTGTTGTTTTTTAAGTCCTTCATTGGAAGCGGCTCAATAAAAGTATTCAGAGTGCCTCTCAAGTTGCCTTTTAACCGGAGTTCCCCCAACTTATTTCTTGGTTCTTTCGGTTGACATGGTGCAAAGAAAAGTCAGCGAGCGTGTTGCTGAATTGCAATGTCTCGGGGCACCTCCACATTCAACGCTCCTCTGCCGGCCGCTGCCGAATGAGCCCGCACTCAATTCGATTTTCCTTGCTGTTGGGCACATTTAGGAGAGCCTCTATTTGTGAAGTTCATTTCTAGGCAAATGTATTCAAGAGCTGATGGGAATGAATAGGACCGTGTGTCAGCCGCCCCTAATTGGGATTAAAGCACTTAGGAGCATATGCAGAGAGTGACAGAAATTCTCAGGTTGCATTGTGCTCAGACTTCCACCCGCTTGGACACTCCTCCTCCAGGGGAGATTTATAAAGCTTGCAGGGAGAAACTGAGGAAAGAAAAGCAAAATGGAACAGAACCGGGCTAATGGCTCACGATGGGGCTGTGGTTCAGCAAGTGGTGGTGACAGCTTCTGAGAAAAGATGCTGGGGGATAATTGAACGGAGGCGGGGGAGCTGGTCTGAACTCTTTAATCAGAAAGGCGGGGTGTTAAAAGGCGAAATAAAGATGTTCTTGAGATTCCCAGACGGGTTTTTTTTTTTTTT